ATCAGGATTTCATCATCTTGATAATCCCCTCAAAATCTTATTGATCAACAATCATTGTCAATAAAATGTTGTGTAAGGAATAAAAACTGTATTGTAATCAAGAATTATCCTACACTACAACCAACTACAAACCCAAGATTTGACTGCTTCCACAACAAACTATTTTTGGTACCACGAGCCAGGAAATTACTGCAAAAAAACCATGTCGATAACTAATCATCAAAGCTGCTCAGCCTGCAAAGCAAAAGTTGCAACAACTATTGGAAGGAGTCAAGAACATGGACCTCTCACCTTTAGATCCCATGATGACTCCATAAAAAACTTGCAACAGTACAAAGCAAGGAAAAGAATTATCGAAGAAAAGATAAAGCGCCTCGAACTGCATTTGCATACTCTCGAAGCAACCAATGAAGAATGGAGGCAGTATATTCAACAAACCTCGGGAGCAATGAAAAAGAAAGAAGAGAGAGAGAAATATATGCAAATGATCGATGAGGAATCAGGCATTTTAAATTTATTAAGTGAGGGAAAAGAAGCCATAGTCATTTGAAATTTGTATAAAAATGACGCAGAGCAAACACGTCTAAAAAAAGTCAACGTCTAAAAAAGGATGACGAAAGAGAGAAATTAGCTCAACATGAAAGACCAGCTCAATCAACAAGCTATCAAAAAGTGAATTTATCACAATTACCACTACCAACATTTAAAAAATGTGGAGAGAATTCTGGAGTAGTTTTGACACCGGAGTGCACTAAAAAAACATTCCAAAGATCCAAAAATTAAATTACTTAATAGCATGTCTAAAGAGAGATGTTTTGGAAGCCATAAGGGAATAAATATGATATAAACCCAGAAAATTACCATATCATAAGGAAAACACTGACAGAAAAATTCGGTCAGTTACATATAATTAGAAAGTCACTTTATACCGAATTACACTCCATCAGGAAAAATGACAGAGAATGGAGAGTGACAGTCGAAGCAATGGAAAAAATGGTTCGATAACTAAAAGCCATGGGGATAAGTTATCGAAGTAGTAATGGAAAGTAGAATACCAGCTTGGATACTGGATAAAGTTTACCAACAAAAGGAACAAGAACAACCATGGACAGTAAAAAAGCTAGGAGACTTTCTCGGGAAACTTGCAGAAAAAAATGAAGAATTAATGAGAAGTCTGTCTATAAGCGCGAAAAGGGAACAAACGCCAAATACAAGTAAATCAAAACCTATTTGCGACACAACTTCAACGAAACCTTAGCCTTAGCACTAATAGTACTAGAAACGCACAAAGCCAAAGCCAAAGGAAGTGCAGGCTCAAAGGGAATCAAAACAAGAAGACCTAGCGCCTTTTCGACAAGGATCACTGGGATAACCAATGTCAAGTATATCCCACCACCAAACAAAGAATGAAGCACCTACAAGAAATCAACGCTTGTGTGAATTGCCTCAACTCAAGACACACAACAAACAATTGCGCTCAAAAGAAAAAAGTGTGCTTTCATTGTAAAGGATCGCACAATGCCGCGTTGTGCTACAACAAATACGATAATGGAGCACAACTCAACAAACCAGTCAAGGAAAAAATAACCTTGACTAAACAAATCAACCCAATAAGAAAGCAAGGAATCAATCAAAATAAAGAAGTTTTGTTTCCATGCAAAGAAGTCGAAATACTTCATTGGGACGCATCTCAATTCAGCGAGAAAGCTGTAGTCATGTTTGACGGTGGTGGGGAAATAAGTTGCAAAAAGTTAGCAAACAAATTAAAGCTAAAGGAAATCAACCACAAAAAAATAAAGTTAACGGCATTTAGCGAAAGAAATCCAAAAACAAGGTCCAATTTCGGACTTAATTTTTCGATGACGTTGGATTGCCATTGATCGCGAATTATCGTAATTTAGGGCAACGTTTCGTTACTTCATAGCCTACTGATTAGTGATTTCAGGCGTCCGAAACAGAGTCCCAAATTGTTGTTCAATTTGATATTTGTTTCTTTCCATGGCCAAGCGACTTGATATCTTCCATTAGCTTTGGTAATAGTGTCGTTGAATTTCTTAAGTACTTGTTCCTGGTCATGAAGAAGTGAATGTTCTTGGATCCCTATTAATTCGAGTTTCCAAAATCGATCAATATCCAGAGATTCCTTTTTCATTGGCGTTAATTCCAACTTGTCTTCATTTTGATCGCAGTCACTACACTCTCTTGCTGTATAAATGGTTCCATTATCTTCGCTTGAGTAACTGTTGCATTTCACGTAAGCCGTTACTTCAGCAGATTCGTGTCACGAGTAGGAATTAAAAACATAGACTCAAGCATCACTCCCAAGAAGGTTGCGGTCGTTAGTTACTTCACAAGTCAGCTATATATAATCAATGTAAGCAATGGATGAATTTAAGGAAATAATCGGGTCCAATGATCATCTCAGGTTGTTTCCAGGATCTCATGTTATTGTTCAGTAATTTATCTTTGATGTGTGATACCTTTGATGTGAGGTACGACTTTTTCTTTAAATTCATCCAATTAAACGAAATCACAACTATGGATTCAGGATTCTCATTAGTTGATTCAACAGTAGGACCCATGATAGCCGGAAGCGGTTACATTGGGAAAATCAATAAAATAGATCAAAGGAAATTACACGAATCTGTGAAGCAACGGTTTACGTGAGATGCAACAGTTATTCAAGCGAAGACAATGGAACCATTTATACAGCAAGCGAGTGTAGTGACTGCGATCAAAATGAAGACAAGTTGGAATTAACGCCAATGAAAAAGGAATCTCTGGATATTGATCGATTTTGGAAACTCGAATTAATAGGGATTCAAGAACATTCACTTCTTCATGACCAGGACCAAGTACTTAAGAAATTCAAGGACACCATTACGAAAGCTAATGGAAGATATCAAGTCGCTTGGCCATGGAATGAAACAAATATCAAATTAAACAACAATTTGGGATTATGTTTCGGACGCCTGAAATCACTAATCGACAAGCTACAAAGTAACGAAACGTTGCTTCTAAAATACGATGAAATAATTTGCGATCAATGGCAATTCAACGTCATCGAAAAATTAAGTCCAGAAATAGACCAGATTGGTGTTATACATTATTTGCCACATCATGAGATAATAACTCCAACCAAGACCACGACCAAACTTATTGTATATGATGCGTCGGCACATTCAAACGGAATGAAAAGTTTGAACGACATATTACATCGCGGACCACTAACACTGCCGAATCTAGTAGGAGTGCTACTTCGCTTCTCAACGATGAAAAATGTGATAGTAGCAGATATAGAGAAAGCATACCTACAATTAGAACTCCATCAAACACAAAGAAATTGCACTCGATTTCTATGGATAAAAAATGTAAGAAGAGTAACTGATAATAACATATAACATTATCGATTTCAATGAGTACCTTTTAGTCTAATTTCATCACCCTTTTTACTATCAGCCACACTAAACTATCACTTAGAAAATTACAGCAGTAAACTAGCCATCGAAAAAAAAAAAAACTTATACGTTGATAACATCGTGATTTCCACCGAGGGAATTAAAGAGCCTCTATCAAATTACGAAGAGATGAAAGGGATCTTCAAGGACGCGTCAATGAATATAAGAGAATTCTTGTCAAACGATCAAGAATCCAACGCTAAAATTCCTAAAGAAGATCAAGCCGAAAAAACACAATTAAAGAATATTCTGGGGATTAATTGGAGTCCTCGCCATAATATTATACGTGTAAGTCCAAAGCCATGGGATGAAAATTTAATACCAACCAAACGAACCATCCTAGAATTCATGGCTTCTCAATACGATCCTCTAGAATTTCTAACACAATGTTTAGTACCCATTAAACTATTCTTACAAAATTTATGGAAGAAACATGTTCACTGAACGAAGAACTAAACGAAAAGGATCAGAAACGATGGAAAGATCTAATGGGCGTATGGCCTACATGGATCATAGAAATACCACTATGTTTGACACAATCAAGGAAATGATAATTCACGTTTTCGCAGACGCTTCTTCTGTCGCTATGCTGCAGCAGTATATACGAAACAAAAGGAGATAATACATCTAGCATTTGCAAAATCAAAAAGGAGAAATCTTTCTGTATGATGGAAGGAGTCCCGTGTCAGATCTTCACTTCACGGAAAACTGCACTACTCCAATGGGCAAAAGCATGACAAATACTAGCGTTATCCTATGGAATAAAACGGAAGCAACAGGGTATTGTTTGTATAGAAGGATTGGAAAATTTAAGGCTCTGAAATATGGAACCCATCTTGTCATAGATGAGTTACAAACCTCGTTCATATTTGAAGAGAAAGACAAACCAATTGTGACAATGTATTGTGGATTTATTGATCCATATTTAATGAAAGGATCTACATGTTGTATTAATACCTCTCATCGAAGAGAAATGATCACCATCTCTGAGTTCTTTAAAAATTCCTTTAAGGGGAAAAGAGAAATTGGAATCATTCAATACGCAAACTCTTTTTCGTTATAAACCACAAAATTATTCCTCATTAAAAAACTCTTCAATCTGGAGTGTCGGGAATCTAAATTCCAAATATATTTCGTAATACCAAAAATAATTTTGTTTGATAAGAAAACTAATTTTATGTTGATCTTTAATATTTTTCACACAATTTTAATCAAATGAGTCATTTTGTAATTATAAAATCGTAGTTATCTGCTTAAGGAGTGAATTGTCACTTGTCTTATCATGTGTCAATTAGTTTCGCAATCCACTACATACATATCGATGCCATCAATCCTACTATTCTTTTGCAAACCATAAAACAGAGTGGCATTATCAAACAACATTTCGTAAGTCTCCTTTTCTAATTTTAACTAAATCAACCATTGTCCTATCGGGAACCGCCCAAAGAGGTCCATATATAAACCCCTTCATCATTAATGGGTAGAAAATTGGATCTGTTTCCTAAAACTACTCCCTGTCTATCTTGGCTATACATCACAACAATCAACCTCAACATACTTTTATCATACTAATTAGTTCTCCTCCATCGTCATCACAAGTTTCTACTCAAACTATTTTATCTGTATAATTTATTTGCAAGAATAAAGTTCAGAGTCATCTCGTGTTTTACACAATTGAAAGGAAACGACCATGGACTGTACCAATAAACAGTCCGAAAGAAGTTCCCTGAGCCACAACCAAACAAGCAAGCGACTTCACCATCAATAATTGAACATTGACCAACTCACAATTTACAAATGAAATCAAACCTTCCACAAGAAATCCCTCTGCTAATGAGCTCGAAATTACCTCAGAAGCTCTCCCAAAAATCCACGACTGTAGCTTAAATAAATGATAGTAACTTTTTCACACTTTTATCCTATTCAAACACTAATAATCCATGAATTTCCATACAGTTTCTAATGGTGAGCTTTAATCTTATTTTCAAAGTAAGAATTGAAACTGGGAAATGCGTTTCAGAAGTAACAGCACCGTACTCAGTTAGGAATATATCATAACAATATCGAGTACACAGAAATGAAATCTCAATTAACCTTACTTAATCTAATTAAAAAGGGAGATGATCTAACGATAAAATGTTCTTAATTATGTTGAAAATTCGCGTTCTGCATAGGACCAATCACTTTCAAAAGATAGATCTCGACCTTTTTCAATTTCATTACTTATTACTGATATTCACACTGTCCGCTATAATTTCTAATATTTCCCAGCAAATTTTGCATTAAGTGCATTTGTACCATCACCTTTTTGATTTTCTGGTGGCATCCACATGATGTAATCTTCATCTCTGTTAGCAATTCCTTCACCATAATCATCGTTCTGCAATGAATCATGTAAACTACTTGCAGCAGATTTGGTGTCAAATATATGTCATGAATACAGCATGCATAAGTATATAAATACGCTACATTACCTCGATGAATAGCCAATGTTAACAATTCAGTATAAAATAAAAGTCATTACTTCAGTTTAGAAGCTTGGGTCATTACTTCAGTTTAGAATTTAGGGCTTAAGATATAAAAAAAACATATGCGATGTTTCTATAGGAAGTATAACAGAGTACAGATATCGCAAACTGTTTAATGAATAATTAGACCTTTTGCTGCTTCGATGATGTTACATCACGAGTTCGGATGCGTTTGCGTTTTAAAGATCTGTCATCTTTAACTAAAGATGCTTGCTTTTCACCCGAAACAATGCATTGCACACGCTGTGGCACCTTTTGTGCAAGGGTTGATGAAACAATCGCTGCTTCATTTTTCTCGATTTCTTCAATAACAGATGATTCCTCCGAAATGGATACCACTGCTGTTGGAATATTGAATTCCTTGAAATTAAAAACCTATTTCGTGAAGTGAAAAATTTCCTTGACTGTTTAAAGAACATTAAAATTCTAAAAAGCTTTTTCTCAGGGTAGAAAAAGCGTTGAAATTTAATACAGAACACTGTGCAGTTTAAAAGCACACTATATATTATGTATTTTCTATCACAAAATACCCAGCCAAATTAATTCAGCTCTAGTTGTTCACCTAATTTAGAGACAAACCTCTCCATCAGCATCATGAGCTTTCGCTGGAAAATCTCGCTGACGAATGTCAGATGAGATATTGCTGTTACATGATTTTTCATCATCTTCAATTTCCGCTATAAAAGGTTGTTTATCGGCGGTCTCCTTAATGAATGTATCCGATGATAATTCCATTTCTAATGGCTCATTTCGTTCTTTCTCTCCCGGAAGTGATCTTTTTGCCTGTCGCATTTTCATTAATTTCTTCATTGTCGCTGCTGTCAAAGAACCCATAGCACGTTTACCATCCTGAGAATTTAAACTTGATTTTCAAAAACCATGCAATTTTTGAATCTTCAGACTGTTTGCCCTGAGAGAACGTAACATTAACTTATTCATATAAAACTTTAATTCGAATAAATAATTCGCTACCTGAATTGTTGGTGCTTTTAGTGCTGGCAGCTTTACTGGTCTTGCTATTTTGGCCAATTTTTCGAGTCGTTCTTTTTCATGTTTCAAAGTTACGAGACGATGTCGCAAGACGGATTTTTCCATTTTGACCTATAAATGAAATTATTTCTCTCGGATTCTTTTTTATACGATGAAATTTAATTCAGAGCATTGTGCGTTTTTTATCAGCATAAAATACATAATATACAGCATACTATATATTATGTATTTTGCGCTGATAAAAAACGAGAAGCTAAGTGGCTCTTTTAGAAAATGTTTAAGTTGTGAAATAAATTTCAAATTATTTTGAAATCTAGCTCAAAAAACTGAAAAAAAACCTGACTGAAAATACAAATAGAATTGAACTTACAGCCAAACTATCTTTCTCGCTACTAAAATAGCCCAGTTGTTTGCAGAATTTATCGAGATCATCATCATCTTTTTCATCATCCTCCTTTTCTTTTTTTTCCTTGGAAATCGCTGCTAGCTGAGCTTCTACCTCACACAATTCTTTACTTGTTGAAGCAATCTTTTTCGTCAAAGTTTCGAAAGTTTCTATTTCCGTTGTCACTTTACCTTTTGCTTCCTAATATTTACATAGTAAAAAGCTTCTGTTAAAAAAAAAGCTTCTGTTAAAAAA